ATGATAAGGCAGACGGGGTTAGTGCCTTGTGGGAGAGCGTGTACAATTCGGAGGAGCAGATGGATCACAGTAGGAGTGACCATAAGAGAAAAAATCAGGAATGAGATCGTAAGAGAACAAGTCGGCACAGAACCAATTCTGGATTACATACAAAGACAGCAAGTGAAATGGTTTGCCCACTTAGAGAGAATGCCTTGTGACACCATACCATACAAAGCATACATGGAAAGAGAAGAAGGACGTAGAGCACGGGGCAGACCAAGAACTAGATGGAAGGATAACATCAGAGAAACTCTACAACAGCACGATGTGCCTATGTTCGAGGCAGCCAGAAGAGCTAGAAACAGAACCTTATATCTCCCTCGACACCCACAGCGGTAAAAGAGGAAGTGAAGAAGAAGAAGAAGAAGATGGATCACCACAGTCTGGTGAGATTGATGCAGTTGGGGGTGACTAGAGGTTCTGGTAGATGCTCGAGGCTCAGAGGAAAGGCAAGACGGGCGTTTAATCAGAATGCTACTGGCACCATTTATATCGGAACTCTTCGCTGGCTGCTGAAGATGGGGACGTAGCGCTTATGGAAATGCCCCGAGTGCTGTGATGTCGGTTCTTGAATCAAATCAAATCACGATAAAAACTCAAGGAAAGTGCGCAAAAATCATCACCAAACGGGAAATCGATTTTACTGATTCCGGATGCAACTGTAAAAAAACTAAGGGAAATGAACCATAGAACAGGATTGTTCAACGGGCTATTCAACTGGCGGTCCGCGGGTCGAACCTGGTCCACGGAGGTCTAGAAAGTGGCCCTCGGATCACTGCCAGGTGTATTAATGATCGATCTATGCTGGGGAGTCACCCTGGCGGAGCGGCTAGACGCTCGCCGCGGATCGTAAGGTCGCGATCTCGCTACCTGGCGAAGCCGGACCTAAAAAAAAAAAGACTTTGGCTCCCAGGTCGACTCAACCTTGAGTGGGTGCCAGGTGCAGTCCAGGGAAGTAAGGGCGGCCGGTGAAATGCTGACCACATTACCCATCTTGTGCCGATTGGTCTATAAAAAATAGGCCTAGCCCTATATGCCCTCTACGCCTAAAGACGTGGAAAAGAGTCCTCGACTTTTTTTTTTTACTTTACTATGCTGGAGCTCGGGTCCGTGTCCCGTGGCGATCCCCATTTTAAAACTGTCAGCCACTGAGTTGAACAGCCCTGCTCGGATAAAAGATGCTCAGTACGTTAGAAGATTAGAAGGAGAATTGCAGCTGTCCTCTGATTATGTACAAACGGTTCGGCATGTAGTGTCTTTGATTCGCCATTGAAGATTGGTCCAAAGTTGAGCGGCGGAGTTCTCTAATTGTTTTGGTTAGGAATATTGTAGCGTTTGGGCTATGTAATGTGCGCATTGCAAAAGGCTTGTGGTATCATTGATTCGCCGTTGAAGAGTGGTCCAAAGTTGAGCGCCGGAGTTCGCCAAGCTTGTTTTGGTTAAGAATATTGTAGAGTTTGGGCTATGTAAAGTGCTTTGGTTTCCTATGTATTACCTAAACTTCATGTTACTTGGTAACTGTCTTGTACAGTATAACTGTGCTATATGGCTGTACGGTTGAACAGTGTTTTCTATGGAAATCGCCAATGAAAAGGCCAGATAAGACTAGCTGGCAATCCATTATATATGTAGTTGAAACAATTCTAACCCCATAAGTGCGCCCGGTCGTTTCCTAAAAGTTAAATGTAATTCTTGCTGTTTGATTCTCTTCAGATTAGGTTTGTTACTATACTTTTTTAAAAGTTCATTGATGTAAGTATAACTAGAGCATATTCCAGGGTTTGTAATTAATACCTATTTGTGAACATTTTTTAAAATTATAACTATGAAATCATGTACGAATGGATAACTGTGTGCAAGAAGTAGACTGAAACGGCAGAATGTCAGATGGGCCTGCGTGCCCAATTCTTAACCTTTTGAAATTAAAGTCTGTTCCGTCGTTCGGTCGGCTCTGTGGCTAAGTCGATGTGACCGCTTCGTAATGCCGGGATGGCGGGTTCGATCCCAGCTGCGGGCCACGCGCCTTGCGTTGGTTTCGACAGTGGTATCAAGAGAGCCGACCGTCCGGAAATCAATGGCAAACTACTGGAAGTAAATTGCCTAGAGAAACCACACAACAGCCAGGGGCTGTTAGGATTGGTTCTGCAACGTCCTTTAAAGGATACGCAACTAACCTTCTGTCGTTCGTTCGCTCATCCTTGTGGAGATGTTAGCAATCCTGCTAAAATGGCGGGTAGCCAGTTTCGCTCAATTTCATCGTCATACACTACTGCTGTCTGTAAGCGGCGTAGGGAGGAATAATTTGCGAGCCAGCCCAAGCTGGCTGCCACTGGCTATTGTCATGCCGTTAAGGCGTAGAATGTATTTGATGTTTTCGATCCATTTTTTCGCGGCCGTCCTCTTGCTCTTGTGGCTGATCTTCTGCTCATAATGGCGCTTTTTTTTCGCGGGCGCACTGTTGGTTTCAGTAATTGAACGTTCGCGTTAACAGTGAGCTGTTGAGTTAACGAGTGAAACTTTTACAGAGATCCCCGGGAGCTACGGACGTCGTGCTCTGTGACGCTCTCGGCAGGCAGCTAGCTGTTCTGCCGAAAGAGACTGAGCTATATGAGATAAAACCCGGTGCTATAAAGTCGATCCCCTCACCTTTACTTTTCATGTTTTTTTTTTTTTTTAATTGCATCCCACAAGGGAGGACGATTTGAAATATTCATTATAAATTGTTAACTCCTCCCAGACCGTGACCAATACATGGGTTAAATTTTCAGTTGCCATTGAAGTCAGTTAGTCGCTCCCATATGGGATGCAATTTTTTTTGTTATTTGAAGTCCCACCCTGGCTTTTGCCGGGGGTCCTGAATATAGCTGGACCAAAGATACAGCACAACGCCTGAACGGGGTTTCTGGGACCTCTCCACGGGTGATCCTCATCCGCATGGTGGCACTTTGTATCACCGGATGTCTATAGCTTATTGGTTAGTCCTGGTGGAGTACAACTTACATACATACACACAGTTGTCATTGTGGCTACAATGTTTAATTCAACAATCACTTTGGCGGTAAGGTTACTGTGCATTTCTTTTATTTATTGTGACAATCAGTAAAAGTAAACTTTCGTTGAGGTTACAGTGGAACCACGCTTAACGAGCATAATTCGTTACAGAATCATACTCGTTAAGCGAAACACCTGTCATGCGAAACAATTTTTCTCATATAAATTAATGTAAAATACGATAATGCGTTACATGTCGAAAAAAAAAATTCTCACAAAATGCCATGTATAACGTTTATTCAAAGAAAATTATATGCATATTGTTAAGGAGAGTGAATCATCTTCATCTTTTCTTCAAACGCGGAACGAACCCACCTGGAATGTGAATTGGATTTGCAGAAAAAAAAGTCGAAATAATTATGATACATAGATAATTTTTTTTTTTTTTACTAGAAAGATGTCCAGAGACATTTGTTTTTGCCGACGATTCAACATTTGGCGAAAGTGCGACACAGCATTATCATTAAATAAATTTGCAACGCGCATAGCCCCTTCCTTATTAGGATGAGGCTTCTCAATGTAAGATGCAACAGTTTGCCATGCTTTCAGCATTTCTCTTTTTTCGCCAGAAGATTGTTGCCTTTCTGTTACCTCCTCCTCCTCTGACGAACTTTCCTCCAAAACTTCTTGCTGTGAAACACAATGCAACTCCATAAGCTCTTGGGTGGTCAGCTCTTGGCTGTGCTCTTCTACAAGCTCTTCGATATCACTGTTATCCAACTACAATCCCATGATAGTGGCCAAAGACACAATCTCGTTGACTACGGGTTCCACAGGTACTGTCTGGAACCCCTCAGTCACAAATCGACAAAGCTCTCCGGCCAAAGCTTCTTCTAAGCAGAAGTTAGGGTTCTCTTGGTAACCCCTTCCCCCGCCTTGTCGATCATCTCGAGGCAGGCAATGATGTAGAAGTGATTTTTCCAAAACTCTTTGAGAGTGAGGTTGGTCCCTTCAGTCACCTGAAAACAATGCTTGAAGAGTGCTTTAGTGTAAAGCTTCTTAGAGTTAGAAATAACTTGCTGGTACATGGGCTGGAGTAACGGAGTGGTGTTGTGAGGCAGAAACTGGATCTTGATGAACTTAAATTCTTCAGGGAGGTCATCTTGTAGGCCTGGAGGATTGATGTACATATATCACAGTAATACAAGTTTGAGAAAATGTGTGATCACAAGCGACACTATGATGCTACTGGAACAAGTGATAAACACTAATGTAACATGCGCACAATTGGGGACTTTTCCTCTCCTCGCCACTCGTTATGCGAAACGTAGCTCGTTAAGCAAGTCATTCTTTTACAATTTGTTTTGCTCGTTATGCGAATTACTCGTTATGAGAGGTGCTCGTTAAGCGAGGTTCTACTGTATATCCCTGTGAATATTTTTTCATCTTCCATAGCTTAACATTTTTTTTTAAAAAAATTACATTTCGTTGTTGTCTCCCTCGAAAAGAAGACTAAGACAGCACTGTGAGTGGAGGTTGTTGCTATATCGGTCAGACTTGCGTCACTGCCAACATGTAACCCTGACTCACGTCCCGAGTCACTGTCTCAACACGCTAAGGTGATTGTAGCACTATCTATGGGAAGCGCTAAGGTGATAGTAGCACTAACTATGGGAAGCGCTAAGGTGATAGTAGCACTAACTATGGGAAGCGCTAAGGTGATAGTAGCACTAACTATGGGAAGCGCTAAGGTGATAGTAGCACTAACTATGGGAAGCGCTAAGGTGATAGTAGCACTAACTATGGGAGGCGCTAAGGTGATAGTAGCACTAACTATGGGAGGCGCTAAGGTGATAGTAGCACTAACTATGGGAAGCGCTAAGGTGATAGTAGCACTAACTATGGGAAGCGCTAAGGTGATAGTAGCACTAACTATGGGAAGCGCTAAGGTGATAGTAGCACTAACTATGGGAAGCGCTAAGGTGATAGTAGCACTAACTATGGGAGGCGCTAAGGTGATAGTAGCACTAACTATGGGAGGCGCTAAGGTGATAGTAGCACTAACTATGGGAAGCGCTAAGGTGATAGTAGCACTAACTATGGGAAGCGCTAAGGTGATAGTAGCACTAACTATGGGAAGCGCTAAGGTGATAGTAGCACTAACTATGGGAAGCGCTAAGGTGATAGTAGCACTAACTATGGGAAGCGCTAAGGTGATAGTAGCACTAACTATGGGAAGCGCTAAGGTGATAGTAGCACTAACTATGGGAAGCGCTAAGGTGATAGTAGCACTAACTATGGGAAGAAATGGCCTAGGACGCTCCTATCACTCTACCTCGGAACGTGACTCAGAGGCCAGCTCCTACACACTATACAATTTATTTGCTACAGAAACTTCAGAGAGACATGTACTGAAATGGGACAATCACGGGTTTAGGAAATGCAAAACTTAGAGACGGAAGGCTCATGTTGTGCTCGCTACAACGTGAAGATTTTCTTTCTACATAATGGCTGCGGTAGAGACCACGAGAGAAATGAAACTTTCTTTCCCTATCCCAAGCGACGTCGGACAGTTAAATCTAGTTTTATACACAAAACATATTATGTTGATGTATTAAAATTCCAAGTATAAATATAACAATACAAAATCACTAATGGCAGATGCATGCCTTTAAATATACATGTTAAAATGCACACACAATGAAGCCACAAAAGAGGAAGACAAATAAGCGAGCCAGCAGAACAGACTTAAACACATATATATGGACAAACATATTAACACCAAAGCAGACAGAAAGACAAGCACACAGACAAGGAAGTAGACAAAGACTGACACTCAGGCAAACAAACTGTAAAGACCGTGACACACCGATGCAATGAAAGAAGAAATGGGGATAATGTGATTGCCTTTTGGCGTGATAAACGTTCATTCATACGAGGCCACAGTGGCATGATATGGGCTGACCATTTCTTTTCTGGCTACATTTAAGTTTCCCATAAACAAACAGCACACATTTTACCTAACTGTTTCAGAGTTGCAGCTGCTTTTAATTCTCCAATCTGTAAATGAACTTGACCCCATGAATCTCCACCATCGTATCATGTGCTCAAAGAGATTTTACATTTGGTCACAGCATTGTAACAAATCTGTTTTCTTACTGAACACTTTCATTGTGTATTTTCACAGTCTTCTTACAAATAATATACTCGTGGATATTTCCACAGTATCTATCCCACTGTCTCTGATATCTTTCAGCTTTTCCCAAATCAGGACAAACTCCAGTTTTCCGGTTTTCAGGGCATGACCACACAATGTAGATGATCTCTTGGTGTCTCAATGTCAGTTCTTTTTTTCCGGGGGGAGGGGAGGGGTAGGATGGTTTGGTGGGAGAATAGCCCAACAGCAACAATAGACTAAAATAGACCTAACAAACATTAGCATAACGCGACTAACCGGGAAGGGGGGGGGATGAGGATGGTTTGGTGGGAGAATAGACCAACAGCAATAATAGACAACAACAGACCTAACAAACATTAGTATAAGGCGAATAAATAGAGTTTAATGAAATCCGATGTGTTATACACAGATGCGCAGATATTGCAATATGGCTGTAACCACAATACAATATGCCTACAACCCTTTTAAGAAGAAGAAGCAAAAGAAGAAGAAGAAGAAGAAGAAGAAGAAGAAGAAGAAGAAGAAGAAGAAGAAGAAGAAGAAGAAGAAGAAGAAGAAGAAGAAGAAGAAGAAGAAGAAGAAGAAGAAGAAGAAGAAGAAGGAGAAGAAGAAGAAGAGGAAGAAGAAGAAGAAGAAGCAGAAGAAGAAGAAGAAGAAGAAGAAGAAGAAGAAGAAGAAGAAGAAGAAAACGAAGAAGCAGAAGAAGAAGAAGAAGGAAGAAGAAGGAAGAAGAAGGAAGAAGAAGAAGAAGAAGAAGAAGAAGAAGAAGAAGAAGAAGAAGAAGAAGAAGAAGAAGAAGAAGAAGAAGAAGAAGAAGAAGAAGGAAGAAGAAGAAGAAGAAAAAGAAGAAGAAGAAGAAGGAAGAAGAAGAAGAAGAAGAAGAAGAAGAAGAAGAAGAAGAAGAAGAAGAAGAAGAAGAAGAAGAAAGACCTTATATTTTTAAAAGATAATCTACAATGAAACCTTGGCTAATGAGTGACACCGGCTAACGAAGTTTTCCCCCCTCAAGTAGATATTCCACGATGTTTTTTGGGCCTGATCTAACGAATGTAGATTCGGCTAACGAATGTTTTAGTGGCTGCGCGAGTTAACATTACGCGGCCGTGCTGTAAGCAGAAACATATGGGAAATCCCGTTTCGGCAAAAAAGTGAATTTACCGAACGAGTTTTGTTCGTAAGCCGAGACAAAACGACTTCCAAGCCCCATGAAACAATAAATAGAGGGGTTCATAATATTAGCCCTTTCAAAAACCCAACAACTCCGCTAAGACCGGTCCCAAGCCCGGCTGTAAAAGGAGGAGGGTCTGGCTGAACCTGAGTGCTTCATGCGTCTCCGGAAGTAGTGGGTAACCGTGAATCAGCCAGACGGCCTGCATGGAGGCCGCAAGGAGGCAGCCCCTCCACCATGCAAAGGCACAACAGGCCAATCACCTGTTTGCCTTAAACCACGATTACAAGTAACTACAGAGAGAAAACCGGACGGATCTTAACGGCGACGAACTGGCATGGCTTACGGACTACGATTTATGGAACATGGAATATAAGAGGCATTAACGGAAAGGAAAACGAGTTAGTAGGGGAGATGAGGAAAGCAAAATTAGGAGTCTTGGCTCTGACTGAAACCAAGAAAAAGGGGCAAGGAATCACAGATCACGATGGAAGTATGCTGCTCTACAGTGGTGTCCCTATGACGGAGAGAGCCAAGGGAGGTGTTTGCTGTATTGTGGCCAGGAATCAAGTTAGTAACATCAAGGGATGGAAATTCATCTCAGAGCGAATAATGGTGTTAGATCTGAAAGAAGAAGATAAAATTGTCAATTTTGTCATTGTGTACGGGCCAAATGAAGATGAGCGAGTAGATGTTAAAGAAGAATTCTTTGAACTGCTCCAAAAGACCATAGATGACTGTCACGATGACATTATCCTCCTAGGAGATCTAAATGCCAGAGTAGGAAATGATCACTCTAGATGGGGTGGAGTGATCGGGAGATATGGTGAAGATGTTTTGAATGATAATGGCAAGCGACTTCTCAGATTCTGCAGGGAACAGAACCTTGTCATTACAAACACAAAATTCCCCCACAAGAGTATACATGCATACACAAGATGTGAACCTTCAAAGAATGAAAAATCCATCATTGACTACGCCATAGTTAGGAAAAGCTCATTCAAGTTTGTGAGAGATGCCAGAGTCATGAGAGGACCAGAGATTGGAAGTGACCACTATCTGGTCACAATAAAGAGAACAACTGAAAGAACTGCTCCAACAAGGCAACACCGACAACTATGCAAGAAACCAAGCAACCAAGAAGGGATGAGGATTAAAGCATACAAGCTAAGAGAGCCAGATATTAAGGCTAGATACCAGGAGCTTATAGGGAAAGCAATAGGAACTGAAGAAGAATCATCAGAGGACACTGAAACTCTCTGGTGCAGATTCAAGAATATCCTCACAGCAGCTGCAGTAGAAGCATGTGGTGAAGTCCCAAGTGGAAGGCGGGGACACAGGACACCTTGGTGGACAGAAGAAGTCAAATTGAAAATAGGAGAAAAGAAAAGAGCATGGAAGCAATACCTGGCAGCCAGGAACACAGCTGAAGAAATAGAAAAATATAAACAATATGTGGCACTCAGAACAGAGACCAAAAATATTGTGCTTAAAGCAAAACAGAAATCATGGGAAGAGTTTGGAGAAAAGTGTTGGAAAGAATGCAAGAGAAAACCAAAAACTGTTCTACAAGACCCTTAAGAACATGAGGAAGGAGAAAGAGTGCCCACTTAAATTCATAAAAGACCAGGAAGGGGCTCTGCTCACTTCTACAAATGATATCATGGGCAGATGGAAAGAATACTTCTCAGAGCTCCTCGGCGCTGAGGGAAGTCATGACCCAGAAATAATGGACCTCACTGCTGAGAAGGAATTCAATCATGGGGAAGATAACATCAGGATGGAAGAATTGAAGGCAGCTATTGAGAAGATTAAGCTGGGAAAAGCAGCAGGTCATGATGGTATAACACCAGAGATGGTCAAATATATGGGAGTCGAAGGTGAGCGCCTTCTACTGAAGGTTCTCCAGGCAGCCTGGTGTAGCAAAACTATACCAAAAGATTGGGAGATTGCCATCATTATACCTATATTTAAAAAAGGTGATAACAGACAATGTGAAAACCACAGAGGCATATCCCTCCTCAGCATTCCCGGTAAAAGTTACTCTAGAATTCTTGAGCAGAGACTTAGAAGTCTGGTAGAGCCACAGCTGGACGAGGCCCAGTGCGGCTTCAGAGCAAACCGAAGTACTCAAGACCTTATCTTCACACTGAGACAGATGAGTGAAAAAGCCCTGGAATATAAGAGTGAGATTCACTTATGTTTTTTGGATCTGGAAAAGGCATTTGACAAGGTACCCTGGAACAAGCTCTGGGACTGCTTGGCAGGGGAAAAACATCCCAGCACCCCTGATCAGTGCAATACAGAGTTTCTACAAAAAGTGCAGAAATTATGTAAGAACAGCAGACCAAAAGTCAGAAGAATTTAAGACCACCAGCGGTGTTAGACAAAGGTGATATTCTCTCACCTTACCTCTTCATTCTTATGATGGATGATGTCATCAAGACCTGTAAGGAGAAGACAAAGAAGTACTCTGTAGGGTACTGGAAGATGAGACCAATCTGTATATCAGAGCTGGCTTTTGCAGACGATGTGGCCCTGATAGCTAAATCAGAGGCACACCTTCAGTCCAACTTACTTGTCTGGAAGGAAGAGCTTGAAAAGAAAGGGATGACCATCAGTTGTCTCCAAAACTAAAACCATGGTGATCTCAAGAGAGGAGAAGAAACACCAGATCATGATGGGTCAGTATGCGTTGGAGCAGGTTAACCAGTTCAAATACCTTGGAGTTGTATTAGACCAAAATGGAGGCATTAAGACTGAGCTGGCTACACGAAAAGCAGCTGCTGGGAGACTCTTCCAGGCCATAAACCGAGGGTTTCTTAGCAAAAGAAGAAATTGGCAAGAGGACGAAAATGGCTGTTTTACCGCTCTACCTATGTACCAGTCCCTGACCTATGGGTGTGAGTCATGGGCAATGACAACAGCTCACAGAAGTCAGCTGCAGGCCTCGGAAATGAGATACCTGAGAAAGGTGGTCCAAGTGACAAGAAGGGACAAAGTCCGCAATCAGACAATACGTCAAGATCTTGATACCCAGTCCTTACCAACCCGATTGGATCAGTCACAGCTACGATGGTTTGGACATGTGTGCAGAATGGGAGAAA